GCCCACTCCTCAGAACACACACACTTTAGATGCCAACAGCAAGCCCAGGCTCTTATCTGTGCTTCTGACCAACTGACTATAGATTGGAGGTTCCAAAGACCATCCAATTTAGAATGCTAATCTCAAGTTGTTACTTATACTTCTGACCGACTGGCTATATATCAGAGATTCCCACAACCCCCTCCTTGGGCTTGATTAATTTGCTAGAATGGCTCACAGAACTCAGAGAAACATTTTACTGACTAGATTATCGGTTTATTAGAAAAGGATATGAAAGACTACAACCAGATGAAGAGACACCTAGGGCAAGGTCCTGAACAAAGGAGCTCCTGCCCCTGTGGAGCTTGGGGCCCCTACGAGGCGGCACTCGCATGGAAGTCGTCTAGTTCCCCAGCCTGAGAGTTCTCTGAAAAAGGAAAAGCTGTCTTCCTGGGTTCTTATGGAGGCTTCATTACACAGTCATGATTGACTGAGTCATTGACCGCTGGCATTGAAGTTAATTTCCAGCTCCTTTCCCTTATCCCAAAATGGGGTAGATGGGACTCAAAGTTACCTCTAATCATTTGTTTGGTTCTCTTGGCAACCAGATCCAACCCCTGGTTTGGGTCCAAAAGTCACCTTATTAATATAACAAAAGATACCTTGATCACTCTTGACACTTAGGAAATTCCAAGGGTTTGGGGAGCTGTGGATGATAAACACCGAATATTGTATAAATCACAATAGGGCAGCATAGGAATGCAATTCTCCTATAATCTCTTTCTCTTATGAGAAAAAAGGACCTTAGTTCATTAGTTACTTTAAAGAAGTCAGTGGGAATTCAAGTCATTTTCTCTCCTGCTATCATTTGCTCAAAGACCTTTTGCAATGGGTCGTATGTAAAAAGAAATACAGGAGCTGTTGTGGTGAGGTTTATTTCAAGAAACCATTAAATACAAGCTAAACCTGAATGGCACCATCATTTGTGTATGGAGAAACAGGGTCTATAAATGCATCAATTCCTTCAACTTGACAGAAAAGAAAAAGGCTAATAATAAGTGAAAAAGGCCCTACACAGTTGCTTAAAGGCTACTTCTTTGGCCTCACCTCTTACCACTGCCCCCTCCATCACTGTCCTCCAGTCACAGTGACCTCTTTCCTGGTCCTTGCTTGCCAAGCACATTCCCTTCTGGGGGTCTTTGCCTCTTTGCTAGCCCTTCTGCCTGGAACGCTTTTCCAAGATAATCACAGGACTGGCCCATTCTCATGCCTCAGATCTCTGCTGAAATGTCAGTTACTCTGGGAGGTCTTTCCTGACCACCCTCACTGAAATAGCACACAGACTGCTCACTTTCTACTCCTTCACTTTGCAGTATTATTATTGTTTTTTTTTTAGTGGCAATTATACACTTGCACATTATACATTTAAGGCATTTTTGCCACTATATCAGAATACTAGCTTCAGCACGCAAGGAATATGCAGTTAATTGGTATTCACATAGCATCCCCTGGGGAACCTAGTAGGTGCTCTGTAAATATTTGTTGAATGGATGAAGGAAGCTCTTTGGGATGGTGGAAGTTGTTTCTACTCAATCGCCCAGGCCTCGTGGTCAGTCTGCAGGCAGCTGGGAGCTGCACCCCACCCGCACTGCTACCCAGCAGAAGGACGAATTGGAGTCAGGCCCTCGGGATTGCACTGGCGAGAAACGGCACGGCTGAGCACGCTGCGACAAACCCCCGGCGCCACTTCCCCTCGGTCCAGAGGCCAAGACCGGGGAAGCGCAGGTCTGCAGCACCCGGAACGTGGAAGCAGAGGCAGAAAGAAGACAACAGTGCGCGGGCGGGGAAAGTCTGCGCTGTGCCGGGCTGCGCGCAGGCGGCGCCTTCCCGGTCCGGCTGACTCATTCCCAGCCGCCTCCACTAAGAAGACAACGCGCGGGCGGGGAAAGTCTGCGCTGTGCCGGGCTGCGCGCAGGCGGCGCCTTCCCGGTCCGGCTGACTCATTCCCAGCCGCCGCC